ATGCAATAAGGTTTGTACCTCTTAAAATTCAGCATTTGGAGCTATATATATATATATATATATATATATATATATATATATATATATATATATATATATACTAGAAAAAGTCACAATACGCTACGGTAATGTAATACCGTTATTACAAAAATCCATATTAGATGTGGTTTTATTAAGGGCTGGCCCATGGGCCTGAGCAAGCTGGGCGATCGTCCCGGGCCCCCAAATGCCAAAGGGCCCCCATTTTTAGTTGTTACAGTGGTTGTATGGTATTAGCCCATTAGTTTTAAGTCTGTTTGGATCTATTTTTAAAGCCCAGTACGCTTGTTATAGTGTCGATTAGAGGTGGGCAAAAGAACCGGTCCAAAAAAATGCATATGGACTGAACCAGTCCTGGACCGGTCGGTCTTTTTAACAGTCCGGACTGCAAGCCTTAGTCGGTCCTTAAAATTGATATACGTGGCAGTCCAGGTCCTAAGACAGTCCAAAGTTGAACCGGTCATAAAATAAACCTGTACATTTTTTGGACAACTGCCAATCCAAACCGGTCCAACCGGTTCAGAAAATGAAAACCTAAATATTCTTAGTAGCCAAATTAAATATCAGGCCTCCAAAATTATGGGTTTGTACTTTGTTGCACTTATGCGAATAGAATTCGCTTACCTTACTTCCCTTTTTATAATGTTCCCACCTTACTTATCTTTTGTAATAAAAGCGATGTGGGACAAACAACACAAACTCCATTCGTTCATTTCCTTTGATTTTTTTTTTACTCTAATATAACTAATAATATAATAACTAAGTAATAAAATACTCAACGACTACAAAGTATAAATGTCATTACATACTTTTGGCTGATTTGCTTTTTGAAGAACTAATACATTACATGTTTACAATGGTTAGAATTACACCGACGACTATAAATGTTTTTTGCTGATTTTTTTACACTATAAATACTTATTCATATCCAACTATTTTTCTCACCTCAAATTCTATCCCTTACTCAAAATGTCTCTAAATTTACACTACAAAGCTTGAAGTTTCCACATCCGGACAATGTCGGGTGCCGAAGAAAGTAGTTCTCGTCCCGTTGGTCGCTCCAGTTTTGATCAGAACCAACCATTTGATGAAATTAGCAAGGAAAATCGTATCGCACCTGTTTGGAATAATTTTGCGCAACTACGTCAACATAAAAAATTATACCGTAGATATTAAGTGCTCGAAGGTGTATGCTAACTGATGAATCGGTGCAAATTTCGGTGATGCTAAAGGACTGCTATGATTCAATGGAGAGAGCACAAAATAGCGCGGATCTTGAAGAAGGGTTAACCCATATGGAAACCGAGATTTTGGTAGATGAAATGGAAAAAAGAGGCGCGAAAGTGTCATCATACACTAACACCGATGTTGATGAAGATATTGTCGACACTCAAGAAGCACGAAATGCAAATTTTACAAGTACATCATCCAACATCACTCCCGGCCAAGATTACTCCAACCCCAACCAAGAAGTTCCGTATTCCGACGACAACTACAACTTTTGGAATTTCCCTCCGGATATGACATTTTGATGATATATTTATGTTTTTTGAAATTATAACTAATGTTATGAACTTATTTATATTTACTAAGTCTTTTATGCAATGTTATGAACCCAATTTCTCTATGTTTTCTATGTAATATTATGAACTTAATTTTTAAGTTTATATGTTAATGATATGTTGAAGTTATGAAATCTTGGACGGATGATGATTTATAATGTTATGAAATGTATCATAAGACAATCGAAGTGACATAAAAAACTAGAAAAACCGAAACCTGAAAAAATCAAAAACCGAACTCGAAAAAAAATCCGAAACCGAATAGAAAAAAAAGACCGATATCGGACTAGTTTATAGCAAAATCGATCCGAAAAAAAAACCGATCCATAAAAAGACCGATCCAAAAAAGGACGGGACCGATCGGGACCGGTCTAAAAAAGACCGCTCCAAAAAAAGACCGATCCAAAAAAAAAAAAAGAATCGACTTAGGACCGATCCAGGACCGGTTCAGGATCCATTTTTGTGCACCTCTAGCCGTCTAGCGTCGATCCAAAAAGAAACATGGAGAAAGCGAGATTAGTATGCGATTGGCTTCATACTTTCAAGACGCAATAACTCAACAATCGTTTTCTAGGGAAAATCCAAACAACGTTTATTAGGATTCAAGAAGCAATGGTAATCGATTTCTTCTCTTTCTAATTTCTTATTTAAGATTTCAAGTGATTAATGTGAATTGAATTCTTCTTCATCTGATTTTCTTCTATTGCTAATTTTATGAGTTTCTCCATAACAACCACCTATCGAGGATCGACAGTCAGCGAATTGAGTCTGATTGCTTCTCCTTTTCACGATTCCAGAAAACTGATTTGAGAGGATTGGATGATCATATAATGATATCTTTTCCTATCAACTCCTGTTCAGTAGATAAGTATTTAGAAACATGGAGAGGAATACATTTTCTTATCCCCCTTTTTAGTAGTTATTGGAACATTCAGATTTAAACTAAAACCGGGGATGTGCTTATCTAAATTATTTTCCTAATCAACTACAAACCAAAAACCTTAGGAACCAATAGAAAAAACCCAATACAAATTATATAGCTTTACATTATCAAAAAACCAATTTTGACTCCTTCCTTTTGCTTCTTTGTTTATACAACAAAAGACTATTGTTAATGCTGCATGGTTCATTACTTTAGCATATTGTTTTCATAAAGTTTGATTTTTCTTGTCTAAGTTTATATGTGTATGCAAGTCCCCTGTTTATAACCTTTGTATTCTATTTGGAAATGGCATATACAAAATCTCAAATCAGATTTCTTTTTTGCATGTGTAGAAAACTAGAAATGGGTAAGACAAGGAGTACGAATAGAGATCAGAACCATGATGATGCAATGAGCATGGACATGATCAAGACTTGTGATTGTTTGTAAGATCTTAACCATGATGTGCTTTCCTTAGTTATGATGCAACTTGTAGTTGTTGATTTTCATGCATTTAGTGGAGTTTGTAAGTCATGGAGATCACTCACACTCTCTAATAGGAACAAATTTATAATGTCCAGACCACCCATATCCATATCTCTCTCTGTTGATGCAATGAGAATGAGTACTACTTAGATGGCTTTGAAAGAAGAAAGTTCAAAACCATTGTTTTGCATTCTGCTTATAAGACATGTATTGGAGTAAAACCTTGTTGAAATCCATACTTACCTATTATTTAATAAAAACCTGTTGATATAGTTAAACAAACTTTATGATGATACTACTTGTTGTAGTAAAGGAACTTTCAAGCATGTATAGATTGATGATGTCATTTTGTAGGAACTGTAACTCGTGAAACTTGGTCAACCTTGAGATGATAAATTAAAGAGGGTGACCTTGATTGTTTTCCTTTGTTTCAAAGCCAAATGCAGACATTAAAAGGCTAAGAAATGGCATGTGAATTTGCAACAAATAGTGATTTAAAACCTAATTTCTACAAGATTTCGCACACCGTTAGGTAATGCCTATCCTACACATCTCTTGCCTTCCAAGGGCATAATTGGAAATTGTTGTTTACATTAAAATATTAGCATCAACTTGACCCGGAGCTTTGTTTCTTTGATCCAAAACATCGCAGGAAGGAAACATTTACATTAAACAATTCATCTTAACGAAATTGTAATTTACAAGTATTTTATGCCTTACTTTTATTGCACTATATATGCCTATTTTCAATGATGAAGATAAGGAGGGTATTAACGTCTTTTGCACATAGAAGAGTAGCGAAAGTGACTCCATGTCCCACCTTTTTGTGTTGCAATGCAATTTTTATCACATTGACATTTGTTTGAGTCTCGGTTCAATACATGTCAAACACAATTGTTATGTCTTGTCCTGTCATGTCGTGTCCTATAGTAAAATTGATTGTATTTATGACCTGGTTAATGAAACATTAACAGGGGTATATATATATATATATATATATATATATATATATATATATATATATATATATATATATATCCATATGATATCATTCCATATCAGATTCACATTCCAGCCAATGAACCGCAAATATCCTCATCGACAATTGGGGTTGAGATTACAACATTGTTTGAAGTTCTTAAAATAGGACTTTTAAGGATTCAACGGGTATGTAGTTGCACTTCCAACTTAATCAACCCTCCAACAAGGTAAATACTAAATTATATATTTGTAATTAGGTTCGTATGTTTATGACAATATCATTTTCTTTTCTTTATTCTTCTTACTAGTAACTCGACACATGATAAATTCCACTGTAGATGAAATTTGTTGCTACGGTATGTTGACTATATCATGTGAGTTTTGACAGTTGTTTTCTTTTGTAATGATTAATTTTGGAACTATTTTCTCTTTAATCTTTATGATTCCCATTTGAAATAATTTTTTGCTTGTTTTATTTAGTTAACCTTCTTGATATAGATTTAAAGGTGAGGGAAGATGACATACAATATATGTTTTAAAAAATGTCTTTTAATTTCAATTTGGTCTGCAAGGTAATTAGAAAAAGTGATATTATTATCTATCATCATCATTAGAGTAAATTACGTGAATCGTCCCTCATGCCGGTGTCAAAAGATATATTCGGTCCCTATTTTTAAAAATTAACTCGAACCGTCACTCGTTTGGTTAAAAGCTACATGGGTCATCCCTCGTTAATTTAAAATTGCACGTTCCATCCCTTACGAGACTTGAAATAACTATTATGCCCTTTTTATTCATTTTTGATTTATTTATTTTTCTTTAAACTATTTTCTTTAATATATAAAAAAAATAATAATAAATAACTTATACACCTTATTCTAAATCCTTTTTCCCCAAATCTTTAACAAATAAACCTAAAGATGTGTTTTATGGTCTTGGAGAGAGAACGCAACCACATAGAGATTTAGTAACAACACCACCACCCTCCGATTTGGGTCCAAATTTCAGAG